TGATAAATTAACGAATGTAGCTGACATGGACCTCACATGTTCAGACGGAGTGGCCATGGAAACCTGATCATAGCGAAAGCGCAATATTATTTTTTTGCGAGATGTTTGTAAAAAAGATGTTTAGCTTTGGTAATTCCTCGACATATAAATGTTGTGTGCGGTCAATACTTTGCCCAGCCGCCATTACTTTCTCTAACGTGAGTTAGATAGCCATCAGAGCTGGGTTGGATCATGTATCTTCTCTTTACTTGAACCAGAATTCGAACTCGAGATTTTCGGGTTAGCAGCCTAGCGCTCTACTTCTTTGGCCACGCCGTCCCAAAATGTTTCTTTGTGTCGCTCATACAGTTTGTTTCGCACTAGTGTTAATTTTTCGAAAGTCATCAACTATAAAAAAATAAAATGATTATTATGTCAAATTTGTGTTGATTAAATTCATTAAACATATAGTTAAATACAATTTATTTTTATCCTTCATAAAAAAAGTAGTTTTCACTTAAGCCTTATAACACTGGATCCCAAACAGTGGACCCTTCTTGGAGGCGCCAACGTTCAGAAAAAAAATTCAAAAGAATCTTTTTTTTTAAGTTTTATTTTATAATGTCTTGAAGTTTTGATAATTTTATATGTTTAAAAATAATCATTAAAGTTAGTATTATCCAGAAATACTATTTCGTTAAAATGTGTTGATATTTTATTTGAACGTCGAAAGCAAGTGCGATTCTTTGAATCGATTTTTTATTTACTTTTCTTTTTATATATTTTTTTCCTATAAAGCCCTTTACTTGGAAAAATCACATGTTTCTGAAGAGCTTTCGTTTCCCGGCTGAGCTTTATAAACAACAGATTGAAGTTTTCAGAATATTATTTTTGTTAGTGAACACTTGGTACAGGAAGCACCGTACGTGCTAAAGAACATGTTTTTCCTTAAATTAAGCTTTCGCCATTGTTCGCTTTTCTAGTTGATGCACTCAATAGACTTAAGCTCAAGATCACTGTTGCTTGTCTCTGTAACATATATTCATTCAAATGGTATAAAAGAAACGTTTCTATTTTGTAGTGAACATAAACTACTACAAAAAGTGAAGTTATCATGGAGAAAATAATACGTTTTTGAAACTGGAGGATTAAAAGAGCTAAACCGCAGTGGGGTTTATACGGATGGTTCACAATCTATGCCTGGGTCGAAATCGGACTTTAAGAAAGAAGTAAAAATTCTAGCTTACAATCAACGATAATACTCTGCATAATTTACATGTATGCTTTTGCAAGCAACACACTTAATTTGATAAGAAAAATCGTAAAGTTTAATAAATCTGGAGCCCTAACCACCCTTCTGTTTAATGAACTATGGAAAGTGATTCTAAGCAAGCAGTTCTTTTTTTCTACACTCAACGATGATTCTTTTCGAGAAGAAATGTTGCCAATTGTGTCTTTAAATTGAAAGATGAAATGTAGTTGTTTTTATAAATGCAAGGGAACCAAGACCTTAAGATATAGCCTACTTTAACAATTTAGAGTGGTTTGAGAGAGTAGCATACCTAGCAGATATTTCAACAAAACAATGGGTTTAACCTGAAGCCTCAGGGGAAAAAACAAATATTATCGCCATTCAAGATAATATCTGGGCTATGTAATTTGCGAATAAAAAATCTTGGAAATATTGCCATGTGTGGTCTGTGTAATATGAATCTGAATGTAAAACAAATAACATTTTAAAAGAAAAGATTTCTGACCATCTTGAATCTCTTGACAACGAATATTGGCGTTAGTTCACTGAATTAAACGAAGTATAAACCATATTGACACATAGTCCATGCTCTGCTTTTGTTTATGTTGCCATATATATGCAAATAAAATAATATTAACCCTTTTTTCTGATAATCTTGGGGCATTTTTTACCAAAGCAGCAACATTGAAGAAGAAAAAACAAATCTTGGAAACAATGGCATGTTTGGTTGTGAGATAAATATCAATTTGAAAGAGGAGATTTCTAGCCATCTTGAGTTTCTTAAAAACTAAACGCGGCGTTATTTCCCTGAGCTGAGAGAAGAATAAACCTCATTGACACGTAACCCATCCTCTGCTCTCCTTGATCTTATGAGTTACAAGATGAATTATTGTTTAAAACCCATGTTTAAATAAAACAGACAAACATGATTTACATTTGCAGCTAGGTTCAACTAGACTCACGGGTAACTTACACTAAATAAGACAGGATTACTTCAATGAATGTAAACATTTGGCCTTAGACTTGATTTCACATCATCTATTTGTCTTTATTGACATTGGTGGCGAACAAATGTAAACGTTAACTTGCAAGATCTTGTTGTGTAAAATCATGTAAGCATCGTCGTTGTTTTCCGTAAAGAAAATGTCTCCATAGAAAAAAGTTGTAAAATATAAAAACATATATAAAAACATAGCAGTTTTTTTTTAAATCTGGAAAACAGCTATTTAATCAACTAATCCCTAACCCAACCGACTGATATAATCATTACCTGTCCCTAATCCAACCGACTGATCTAATCATTACCTGTCCCTAACCCAACCGACTGATCTAACATTACCTGTCCCTAACCCAACAGACTGATCTAATCATTACCTGTCCCTAAACCAACCTACTGATCTAATCATTAACTGTCCCTAACCCAACCGACTGAACTAATCATTACCTATCCCTAACCCAACCGACTGATCTAATCATTACCTGTCCCTAACCCAACCGACTGAACTAATCATTACCTGTCCCTAACCCAACCGATTGATCTAATCATTACCTGTCCCTAATCCAACCGACTGATCTAATCATTACCTGTCCCTAACCCAACCGACTGATCTAATCATTACCTGTCCCTAACCCAACCGACTGATCTAATCATTACCTGTCCCTAATCCAACCGACTGATCTAATCATTACCTGTCCCTAACCCAACCGACTGATCTAATCATTACCTGTCCCTAACCCAACCGACTTATCTAACATTACCTGTCCCTAACCCAACCGACTTATCTAACATTACCTGTCCCTAACCCAACCGACTTATCTAACATTACCTGTCCCTAACCCAACCGACTGATCTAATCATTACCTGTCCCTAACCCAACCGACTTATCTAACATTACCTGTCCCTAACCCAACCGACTGATCTAATCATTACTTGTCCCTAACCCAACCGACTTATCTAACATTACCTGTCCCTAACCCAACCGACTTATCTAACATTACCTGTCCCTAACCCAACCGACTTATCTAACATTGCCTGTCCCTAACCCAACCGACTGATCTAATCATTACCTGTCCCTAACCCAACCGACTTATCTAACATTACCTGTCCCTAACCCAACCGACTGATCTAATCATTACCTGTCCCTAACCCAACCGACTGATCTAATCATTACCTGTCCCTAACCCAACCGACTTATCTAACATTACCTGTCCCTAACCCAACCGACTTATCTAACATTACCTGTCCCTAACCCAACCGACTGATCTAATCATTACCTGTCCCTAACCCAACCGACTTATCTAACATTACCTGTCCCTAACCCAACCGACTGATCTAATCATTACCTGTCCCTAACCCAACCGACTTATCTAACATTACCTGTCCCTAACCCAACCGACTGATCTAATCATTACTTGTCCCTAACCCAACCGACTGATCTAATCATTACCTGTCCCTAACTCAACCGACTGATCTAATCATTACTTGTCCCTAACCCAACCGACTTATCTAACATTACCTGTCCCTAACCCAACCGACTTATCTAACATTACCTGTCCCTAACCCAACCGACTGATCTAATCATTACCTGTCCCTAACCCAACCGACTGATCTAATCATTACCTGTCCCTAACCCAACCGACTTATCTAACATTACCTGTCCCTAACCCAACCGACTGATCTAATCATTACCTGTCCCTAACCCAACCGACTTATCTAACATTACCTGTCCCTAACCCAACCGACTGATCTAATCATTACCTGTCCCTAACCCAACCGACTTATATAACATTACCTGTCCCTAACCCAACCGACTGATCTAATCATTACTTGTCCCTAACCCAACCGACTTATCTAACATTACCTGTCCCTAACCCAACCGACTGATCTAATCATTACTTGTCCCTAACCCAACCGACTTATCTAACATTACCTGTCCCTAACCCAACCGACTTATCTAACATTACCTGTCCCTAACCCAACCGACTGATCTAATCATTACCTGTCCCTAACCCAACCGACTTATCTAACATTACCTGTCCCTAACCCAACCGACTGATCTAATCATTACTTGTCCCTAACCCAACCGACTTATCTAACATTACCTGTCCCTAACCCAACCGACTGATCTAATCATTACCTGTCCCTAACCCAACCGACTTATCTAACATTACCTGTCCCTAACCCAACCGACTTATCTAACATTACCTGTCCCTAACCCAACCGACTGATCTAATCATTACTTGTCCCTAATCCAACCCAGATCACCCTTCCCAAACACAAATCATCCCCCAAATTACTTTATGTCTATAGATTTAAATTGTTCTAACAATTTAAAAGGCGCACTTAATTTATCCGATCTTAAGGTTATACGCGATGTAACTTTCTACCTGCCTTCTGTTTCTTACGTTTATGCAACACAGGCGGTGCTTTAGATCGGTCAATGGATGTGTTAAGATTAACGTTTATGTTAGGGACAACGCAACGCAGTTTTATGTCTCTGCGTAACAGGGCAGCAAGTCAAACATACATAATATGTGTATACTCTTATATATATATATATATATATATATATATATATATATATATATATATATATATATATATATATATATATATGTATATATCAGTTTCATATTTAACACACAAACATATTTTATTTTATCACATTCACGGACTGAAATTATATATTACACATAAAGCTCTGATGCAGAGAAGTAAAATATATGTAAAAATATAGTTATGTTATATGTTTATTTAAGTCAAGTAGAACATTAATTGGTTATCACGTTATTATTTGGAAGTGTTTAATGATATATTAAACAAATAACATATAAACCATTTAAGTGTGTGTATACATGTAGTCTACACACATAATAATTGTTGTTAGCGTGTGTTTAACATGGTGGTTACATATTTTATTGTTTAGAGAGTTTATCATCCACCCTGTTTTATGTTGTACTTCTATAAACCAACGATAGTAAAACTACTAAACCAGGATAGCTTTGCGCCTAGCTCTGCGTGAGACACTTTAAGGTAAAGTTCTTGACCTTTCTTCATGTCAACAACCACTGACCCAGCAGTGCTAGTGTCGGCACGTTTCACTTCTACAGACTTACACCACCTGCCTCCAGCCACCACAGCAACTCTAATCTGTTTATCTCCCCATTCATGTAGAGTCACACAGACAAGATATAAACCATCATGTGGTGATACTAATTTTCCTGTTGTTTGATTAAAATGTTTCCCGTTATATTCACGTACTTCACCAAATGTTGAAATAATTGATCCAGTACTGACAGGTGTGGGATCAACAAGCGTCACATGACAAGCATATCTGTTACATACACGTGACTCTGTTGATTAGAAAACATATTTATGATTTACATGTTTAATTTCACGAATGCTATTTGACTATTTGACCCCTAATATTTGTAAATTGTCGTTTCATTAGTTTATGTTATTAACACTAAACATAAACTCCTTATATGTGTTTTGTACGCAGTATATAATGTAAGCTAAAATTGACAAACCCGAATCAAACATTTATTTTTCAAAAAATAAACTAGAATCCATAATGTTTACATAGCTTTGTCAAAGACGATAAATTGAAACACTAGACCAGTACACTAAACGTACAACAAATGAGTAGTATATTAGGTCCCTTTTGGAGCGAAGGCGCAGGGTGAGGGTGAGGTAGAGGTGGAGGTGGAACAAAAGATATATAGGAAAATACTCCCCCACCTGGGGGAGGCGGATGGTAAGCCTGGTACAATGACATATAGCAAAATACTCCCTCGGGGAGGTGGAGGTACATCGACATATAGTAAAATACTCCCCCACCTGGGGGAGGTGGATGTGGAGGGTTAGACATGCTATATAGTAAAATAATCCCCCACATGGGGGATGCGGGTGGTGAGGTGGGTGAGCTGCCTGGTACAATGAGATATAGTTAAATACTCCCCCACCCTAGGGTGGTGGGGTAGTAGGTCAGTAGCTCACCACCGGTGACCTTGTGACGTAATCAGTGACCTTGTGACGTAATTAGTGACCTTGTGACGTAATCAATGACCTAGTTACGTAATTTTAATTTTTAATTAGTTTGATTTTAATTTTTAAAATTTTAACATTTTAAATTTTAAATTTTTACTAACGAGTTATGTAATTTGATTATTTAATAAATTTTAATTAATTTGATTTTTTTTTAAATTTTAATTTTTAATTAGTTTAATTATTATTAACTAGTTACGTAATTGGATTTTAATGTTTTTAATTTTTTAAATTTTTAAAATTTTATTTTTTAATTTTAAATTTTATATTTGTTTATTTGTTTAATTGTTGTTTAATTTGTTGGTTTTTTTATTTGATTTTATGTATGTTTAATAGTAAACCACGCCACCACCTGGCGGTGGTGTTTGAGAGGCGTGATGGTGGTTGAGAGGGGTGGTGGTTTAGGAGGAGTGGGGGTGTAATGACGGGGGTTGAGGGGAGGGGTGCGCTAACGTGGACAAAAGGTAGAAGGTTCTTTGTGTCCTGACTTCCATTTAACCACAGCTGTTACTCATCATCCCTCCACCGTTTCTCTCGACTACAAACAGCCATTAACAACACCTGTGCTTATAGTATTTTAGTATATGTCAATGTACCTCCACCTCCCCCAGGGAGTATTTTGCTATATGTCATTGTACCAGGCTTACCATCCGCCTCCCCCAGGTGGGGGAGTATTTTCCTATATATCTTTTGTTCCACCTCCACCTCCACCTCATCCTCACCCTGCGCCTGCGCCTTCGCTGCAAAAGGGACCTAATATACTACTCAAATGTTATATACTGCTATGCTAAAACCGGGTCTACGACAAATTCCCGAACAACACTCGACCAAATGCCGTTTGCCCCAAGGTCGATTTGTTAATTTCAAATAGACATTCTTAATCAATTCAGGTTTGACATTTTGATAACACAGTTCTGGGCTTAAAAAAACAAATTTGTTTATCTTTTTTTAAAAAATGCGTATACTATTAAAATTAAACATGTAATGTATGAAAATTGAAAAATTGCTGTAAAAAAAACAACGTTATTCTTTAATAATGTTATGCTATGTTGGCGGCGGTGTTTTTATACTCTCTTGATGTAAGTTTTGAACAACTTGTTTAGCCGATGTGCTGCGGCGGTTATACAGCACGTATGACACGGTGTAGGCGGCACGGCGTCTCGCAACATTGAACAGTGGCGCATTTGATGGATTTATCGTTTTATGCTTAGCTTGTAGGGTGATCATTTACAACAGAACGAGGCGCGGTCAACGCAGCGAATGTAAAAACTCAAGGTAGTCTATTACATTTGATCTTCAATTAATGCACCTTGTTTAGATAATGTGTTGAAGCTATTACTTAATACAGAAAGTGAGAATCATTTTTTAAAAATCTCAGATAAGTGAAAATTATATTTTCGTCTTGTTTTATGGATAGCAAAAGATGTAGGTCCTACACTTTCTATAATATAGCAAATACTAACTAATTCATAATGGCTGCTTGCAGATATTAAATAGTATTTTGTTCCCTATCAATTTGGTTAGACATTTATTTAATTATCAAAATTTTTTGGTAATCAGTAATGCTAACATTTTTCGGACAAACGACCTTCGGGTATTTGGCTGTTGGGTATTTGTCCCATTCGGGCATGTGTCCGTTCAGGCATTTGTCCCATTCGGGCAAGGATCAATTCGGGCATTTGTCGCATCCGGCAAGTGACCATCCGGGTAGTTTAATTGTATATGGATTATTTATTGAAACAAAAATTACTAGAACTAAAATTGTTCTGTTGTACTTAATAATGACCGATAACAAGATCTGCATATTCTACCTTTTGTATTTTTCATTTCAGGTTACAGTCAATTAATGAGATATTAAAATGTTTAAAATGCGACAATTATAAATGTTTTCAAGTTATTATTTTATTTTAGATTTAATCCCTGTCTCTAACGGGGCATCGTCTTAATATTAGAAACATAAATGGATGACGTGACGTTATTTGAAATTAGTTTACTTAAACTGCAGCTCTGTAAATATCGAACGGTACTGTGGTGGACCGCTGTAGGTCGACCCCCGACATACCAGGTGGTGTAATGTACCAGGTGGTGTAATGTACCAGGTGGTGTAATGTACCAGGTGGTGTAATGGACCAGGTGGTGTAATGAACCAGGTGGTGTAACGTACCAGGTGAGGAAATAAACACCTGACTGAAACCCACGGGTCTAGAGATTGGCACTATGGGTGAGTGAACTGTTCCATTCTTTATCACGTTATGGTCTGTCTGGCTAACGAACATCACGTTATGGTTTGTCTGGCTAACAAACATCACGTTATGGTCTGTCTGGCTAACGAACATCACGTTATGGTCTGTCTGACTAACGAACATAACGTTATGGTCTGTCTGGCTAACAAACATCACGTTATTGTATGTCTCGCTAACGAACATCACGTTATGGTCTGTCTGGCTAACGAACATCACGTTATGGTCTGTCTGGCTAACATCACGTTATGGTCTGTCTGGCTAACGAACATCATGTTATGGTCTGTCTGGCTAACGAACATCACGTTATGGTCTGTCTGGCTAACGAACATCATGTTATGGTCTGTCTGGCTAACGAACATCACGTTATGGTCTGTCTGGATAACGAACATCACGTTATGGTCTGGCTAACAAACATCACGTTATGGTCTGTCTGGCTAACGAACATCACGTTATGGTCTATCTGGCTAACGAACATCACGTTATGGTCTGTCTGGCTAACGAACATCACGTTATGGTCTGTCTGGCTAACGAACATCACGTTATGGTCTGTCTGGCTAACGAACATCACGTTATGGTCTGGCTAACGAACATCACGTTATTGCCTGTCTGGCTAACCAACATCATGTTATGGTGTGTCTGGCTATCGAACTTTGTTTAACAAGTGGTTATGTCCGTGTTATAGAAAGGCAGAGAGTAAAAGATTTAGATATAATTTGAGAGATTGAGGTTGGAAAATTGAACAAACGTCGTGAAACGTATTTACCAAAACATTTACCAATTCATTACCATTAAGAATTATATTATAGCTTTCACTATTGTGCATTTAAATGATAAAAGCAAAAGTTAGATTTCCCATTAAATATACCATTGTTATGTAAATAGGTTTTACATTTTTTAAACGTACCGATGAGATGAAAGTTGTTGATCAACTTCGAAATATTATTTTCAAGTTCACCCAGCTAAAGTGAAATAAAATAAATAAATAAAATAATCACATATCTAGATAAGCTATGATGTAAGACTGGCCTGCTAACTTAAAAAAATAATGTCCATTTGCTAGAATTTAAAATGAATAAAATTATTTTATTATTTAAGTATTAACATTATTTCTCTGTAAATTAAAAACAATAATGGACCTATTATATAGACTAATAACAGACTTTTATTGACTAATTTGGGATTTATCAGTTTTCTGGATTATTGTAATACAATCATTATAAACATACCTTATTTATTCGCTCTTTCCTATTTTCCAAATTCTGGTTAAAGATTTGAATCAGTTTGTCAATGGGCATCAATCTCTGTAGTAGGAATTTGTACATAACACTGTGCTAAAGACGATCATAATTGAAGATTCATACATTTAAATAATTATATTGTATATTAAAACTCACATAGCATTTATATAAAAGTTAGTCGACTTCCTCTTAATTAAGAATTTGAAGTTAATTACCTGGCAAGTAAGAATAGATCTTTGTAAAAATAAGACTGCAATTTAAAAATTTACCTTTGATTGCAACTTTTCAAATTGGGTTGATGTTTTGACAATGATTTTATTATTTTCATCTTGTAAAGTAACAATCAAATCAGAATGGCTTTTAATTTCTTCTTTCATACCGTCTCTTACATCTGTATTAGCTTGCATCTCTATATTTATTTTGTGTAGTTTGTTTTCATATTCTTTCACATCTAGAGAAAGTTTCTCTAGTGTTTTGTTTGACTTGGTTTCTTTTTCTTTTAAACTTTCAATTTCTTTATCCAGCTCCTTTACTTTATTATCTTGTTCACTCATTTGTTTTCTGAGATTTTTAAAATTCTGCTTTTGTTTTTTAATCAGTTGTTCAATTTTTACCCCTATGTCACTCTGTTCTGTAACAAAGTTGTCTCTCCATTGTTTTATTTCTGATATGTCATCTGTAGACTTGTGTTGTGTGTTCTGTAGTGAAGATAGTGTTGTTTCAATATAGGCGAGTCTACGCTCTAGGTCAGGATTTTCTTCAACTGAAAGTAGTCACAAATATAAGTTTGTAATTTTAAAGGAATGAAATTTTGAAAAATAGGTTCTTTAAAAAATAATACACAACACAATTAAAGTATTTTTTTTTAAATTAAAAAGTATAAAACCGTACATGATTTAACATTGTATACGGCTTATGATCCAGCTACTTAACTAGTTATACCAAACAAAACTAAGATATACCCGCTGTATATTTGTCTTGTGTGATGAGTTGTCTTGGTGATTCTAATGTGAGAAATGTTGCTGTTGTCTGTGTGTCAAGCTGCGGTAAATTTGGCGTTGGTTTCTTGATATCCTTGTTGTCTTCATCTGAGGGATTTGGGTTTAGAATTTTATTATAGTTACATTTTAATGAATGATGTTTTATTGTAAACACAGTATTTCTAAAGACTTTAGCTGCAAAGTGTTTAAATTTTTTACAGTAAATTTTGTAAAATTTAGAAAATCAAATTTCATTGAAATTCTTATTCGATAAAAAACTAATCTCTTCCTTCTGTTAAATTATCCAGATCTACATATTTACATACTAATTTATTTTAAATTGATTTACATACTAATTTATTTTACATTGATTCACATATTAATTTATTTAAAGTTGAACTCGGACCAAACGTTTACGCTTCTTGACAGAAGGGTTAGAGATTTAAAATTATAATGTGAATTAAAAAACTGACCAGAAATATGTGACGTCACATCCAAGAAGGCCGTGGCTGCTGTGTCCAGTTCTTGTGATAGCTCGATGTAGCTGACAGATGATTGGTCAGTTTTTTCTTCTAGCCACGCCTTACTTTTTGTAACAACCTGGTCATCACAAATATGAACATTATTTCAACTGGCCAGATTTTGTATGGCTATTTTATGAGAAAATAAATGTCAAAATTAAAATAATTCCTACCATCTAAATGTTAATTTTTTGGTTTTCATATATTAGAAAGTATATCAAGTTTAAATCTCTTAATAATATATATAATTATATATATAATTATATATATATATATATATATATATATATATATATATATATATATATATATATATATATATATATATATATATATTAAGCTACTTGGATAAGTTAGTTTTACTCTCGGAAAATGTGTTCAGAGAAATAAAAAAAAGAAATTGTAATAACACAACGTCACAATAATCTTTAAAAAAAATTAGCATTAAAAATTAATTGATTTTAAATGTTTTAATCTTACATTTTTCATAAAATTAATGACAGGCTCCAGAACTTGTATCTGTTCTTCCAAATATTGTATCTGTTCTGTAACAACCTTGACCTGAATTCGGGTAGGCATCTGGTTTAAAAATAGAATCTTCACTTATTACATTTTTTTGCTTGTCGCATTAGTCAATGTGATAGACAATAGAGAACAGAGACGTTTGGTTTACTGAAAATCGGTAGTCTCCTTTGCTTTGAACGGACTTGTTGCAATAATTCATATTTTATTGAATATAATTACACAGGTAAAATAAGAGTAGCATGATGTATAATCGTGTTACGGTTGTTGATACAGAGAGACAGGTGCAAATATATGTAGATCTGCAGACACGTGTGTTAGCACCTGAGCAAATATATATGTACACCTTTCTCCCCCCTCCATCTACAGCATGATGGTTACAACCCAGCAATAAAATATCAAGGTCTGACCCCAGAGTTGCACGATTTAGGTAGAAATGATTTTATTTGCATTTTATGTCTAGATATAATGATTAAAAACACACTTATATAGAAAGTAAAAAAAAAAATTAAAGTACTTTGTTTTGTTTTTTTTAAGATTTTAGGGATACTTTTCGTTATGAATACTTTATTTGAGGGGAGGGGCGTTGCCCAGAACTTTGTTCTCGGGTATTTGTAAGGACTGGTGTCCAAGTAGATACTTTAAGTGAGGATGTAATTAGACGAGTTAACAATGTAAACAACGATCTCAGTTTGGTTGCCGCCTGTGTTTGAAAACATAAAATACATTACACTTTAACTACGTATCGAAACGTGTCAAATGCTGTCTAATTGACTTAAACTGAATTAAAAATACAATCCATGCGATAAATAAAATGACAACAAATCACACCGATAGTTTTACAACACTTTCTTACACGAATTATATTTTTAACGCATTCATTGCAGCTGTTACCCTTTCTACGAAACGCTTTTTATTTTTTTCATTAAATAATTATCTATCACAGCTGTTAAACTATAAAAATAGTGTTTTTGTATTTATATTGTACCTCATTAAAAGTAGAACGGCGAAACTGAAAGTTCTTAACGGAAAAAATCCGCTGCTATAAATATATCTTCTACCAGGTTATAAAGATGGCGACAACACAAGACACGTACTAGAGCTGATGTCTTGTCTTCAACTAAAACCAGAGGCGTAGCTAGGGGAGGGCGGGGAGGGCGGCCGCCCCGGGCGCCGACCCTAGGGGGGCGCCAAAAGGGGTAGAAAAAAAATTAAAAGCTCATTTTAAGCTACAATGTTGAATGATAAACAGTCAAAGTAAAGAAATTTAACGCGGGCAGCCTTTGCATACTGATTTAACTGTTTTCTACCTTGGTTGTGTAACTGTAAAACGTATATCTTTAAGAAACAGTGACCGGAAAAACCGCTTTCCAGCTTTACTAGATGAGGGGGGGGGGGGCGCTTTTTCGAAGACTAAAATCTGAAAAATTAACAGCGGATTAAGGAATAAACCGATATCGCCCAGAAAAGAAACCCATTGAACTAAAGAGTATTTTACGGTTGTGTAACATAAAAAAGATTTAGCAGACTGTCTTAGCGGGTGGATGGGAAGCGACACTCTTTGCCAAAATTTTAAGAGAGAATAAAATTAGTATATTGTACTGATTATTACTTTGTTCAACCTAACTGATAATTCTAAATTGCAATATTGGCCTACTATTTTTGAAATTGTTCTAAAGACACGACCAAAAGTAAACCAAATAAGGCTTGCACCTTCTACAAAATAACTCTAAAGCAGTGGTTCTTAACTTTTTAGAGTACCGAACCCAACCAGTTTCATATGCGCAATCACCGAACCCTTCTTAATAGTTGTATCGTCCACAATGACAAAATCCGATCGTGAATCCTATGAGTCGGGTGTGTGTCTTGACCAGTGTTTCTTCCAGATTTTTTCTCCGGGGGGGGGGGGGGGGGGGCACTTAAAATTTTCGGGGGGGGGGGGGGGCAGTAGACTTTCTTCGGGGGGGGGGGGCGGACACTGTTAAAGGTATATATTTTCTATATAAATTATATAAATTTCATTCCCCCCCCCCCCGAAGAGATGCCTGGAAGAAACTCTGGTCTTGACATCCGCGGAAACCCTGAGACTGAATTACCAAACCTCTCGGGTTCGATGGAGCCTACTGTTCTAAGCTCTTTTGATTTTTACAAGCTTTTATTTAACTCACTTCCTCTGTCTGTCGTCAGTCGTCAGTCTAGACCGAAACGCAGGAGTAAAAATTCGGACCCTTCTACTTGACCAATACGACTCACATTTGGCACGTGGGTCAAGACATGAAGACAGTGCAATCTGAAACTAAATTTTACTTAATTGGATGCCTTATTAATTTTTTATGAATTAATTAAAATTTGGACCGAATTAGTAGGCATGTCTAGCCAACCACACCACACGCGTCATCACCTTCAATAGCTGCGCCATCACGTTCAATTGGTGCGCCATCACGTTCAATAGACGCGCAATGGTTTTTACTCATGTAACACTATTTCATAAAATACGTTTTAATAACAAGCTTTTATGTAATAATGCACTAAAAAGTAGAAAATAAATTATACACTACTATTTAAATTACTCTTCTCAAATATTAGTAAAGGTATCCAATAGGTACTAAAGTGACCCACGCTTTTCTTTATAGTTATTTAAATAGTAGTCTATAATTTATTTTCTACTTTTTAGTGCATTATTACATAAAAGCTTGTTATTAAAACGTTTTTTATGAAATTTTCTCCTTTTTATTCGTTTCGGCATCTTAAGGGGAATTTAATTGGCGTCCAGTGAAGTTTTAGGGAACGACAATCAGCGTAATTGTTAATTTTTTCTAGACTGTCGCACACACAAACACACACGCATATATATATATATATATATATATATATATATATATATATATATATATATATATATATATATATATATATATATATATATAAATAAATATTCATATATATATGGGGGCGCCAAAATGAAAGTTCGCCCCGGGCGCCGGGAGGGGTCGCTACGCCTCTGACTAAAACACATAATTTAGGTAATACACAAAAATTAAACACACTACCTTATTATCTAATTATCTGTAGTGAGTGTCATTTTAATGTTTTTATACTATCTTAAACGAAATAGAAATTAACGTACATTTTAAAATTATTTTTAAAAAAATATTACGCTTCATAAACATATTATATTTTTAATAAAAAAACATACACTTTTTTACATTTTTCTTTGTTTATTGTTATCAGTAATATATACATATTTATTTAATGGTATGTAAATTATATGTTTACACTTACTTCAACGATAACTGCAGGAAATTTTACAGCTAGATCTAGATCTAGATCTAAAATCGTTCTGCAAACATTCGACAACTGCTACGCTGGTCATGAAACCGAAATAACTGAACGGGAAATTCCGGTATTATCTCAAGAGTTGACGTCACGTTCCAAGGGACAGAACTGTCGCTGTTCACATTTATCTCGCTAGAACTTTTTAAGGTAACTCACAAAATACAGGAGTGGAATTATCATACCTCAATACGGTTGGAAAGGGGGGGGGGGGGGGCGAGACATATTCCGACCAAAAACAACAAATATATTTTGTACACCTTTTTTTAACATATCTCCTACAGCAGAGGTTGTTTTTCAGTATGTAGCACATACTGTCGCATAGAGAAAAATCTAGATTAGCTATTAATTAGCTACTAAGTTTAGCAAAACTTCAAACCACATCCATACCTTATCACTCCGCTTTAAATAGTATAATAGGGGTGTCAAAAGTTAATGTGTCTAGTTTTGTACTAAACAAATAGGTATTTCTTTACTTAATTACCATTTAAATAAGAAACTAGTTAATTAAAAAGTCTAGTGACATTTAAGCGCAATTTCCTTATGTTATCTAAAAATAGCTCTGTCGTACCGTAAATCAAGAGCAGGGTTAGTAAAACCATTGGTTAGTTATTAAAACGCTTTTTATTAATTTTTTTTTTCAGTATTTTACATGTTTTATTTACAATAGAGTTACATGACTAAAAACCATTGCGCGCCTACTGAATGTGATGACGCAGCCATTGAACGTGATGGCGCAGCTATTGAACGTGATGACGCGTATGGTGTGGTTGGATAAATATGCTTACTAATTCGGTCCAAATTTTGATTAATTCAAAAAAAATTTTGTGACCGAACGAAAGGATATTTTTGAAAACTTTCTTCGGCAATATTGTTTTAAATTATGGCAGGAATCGATTGGTACATGTTTCAAGTCGCTAAGAGGTCTGGTTGCCGAGGTATGGGCCAAAAACTACATTTTTTCGAGGTTTTTTGGCTTTTCCGGGAAATTTATGAAAGAAACCCGTAATTTTTACAGCCTATGTTCATCCTAGTAACTTGCTTAACATAATTGCTTTTGGAACTAGTCATCGATATTGCTTCGTTGAGGAGGAGATACGACTTAAAGCTGCGGACTCACATCCATTCATCCATCCATCCATCCATCCATTCATACATTCATACATCCAGAAATGACGGGTTAATAAACGCAATTCTCCAGAATGGAAATTGCGCTAAAAATAAAGACTGACACAGACATGAAAATGATATTTGTTTTACATATTTTAGTTTCTAAAGCTTTTATTATAGAAAGCAAAGTAATTTTATATTTTTTTTTTTAAAAAAGCCGGGTGAAAAAAGGTATCTGTGCCTACCGCTGTTACCCTTATTGTGAACCCCAACAGTTGATGTTTTCTTATTGTAAACCCCAATAGTTGATGTTTTATTGTGAACACCAGCTGTTGATGTTTTATTGTGAACCCCAACAGTTGATGTTTTATTGTGAACCCCGATAGTCTATGTTTTATTGTGAACCCCAATAGTTGATGTTTTATTGTGAAACCCAAATGTTGATGTTTTATTGCGAACCCCAATAGTTGATGTTTTATTGTGAACCCCAAGTTGATGTTTTATTGTGAACCCCAACAGTTGATGTTTTATTGTGAACCCCAGCTGTTGATGTTTTATTGTGAATAGACTGTAAGCAGATCAAACATTAGGGAATGTTCTGGTAGATGCTAACTATAGTTATTCATTCCACAAGTAGAGGCTGTCTTCACCTAGGAAAACAAAGCATACAAAATATAGACATTATTTCCAACAATTATTTAAACTTCACCTTGCATGTCCCATTTTATGATTTATTACATTAAGATATTCGATCAGAAATTCGCTGAGGTAACAAAACTTAATTTTAATCATATCACTTTGTATTTATGCACTACCCTGCTCACCAACATTAAATCAGATCCCTCCTATAAACACCAACCTAGTGACACACATACACATTAATCTTGTTGAGTTTTTTCCTACCTACACTGTTAAATGTGAAACAAAGACATTTTTTTTAAGTCGCATCTTTACATGTGACGTGTTAAGACAACTCTGATTAGCTATAATTGTTGTTGGTGTTAATTTATTGTGCTGGATACAACTAACGAATCTATTTTTAGCTTATTTTGTCTTGGTTATCACAAAAACTAATTCTTGCTAAAAATACAGTATATCCTACTGTGAGGGTTGAAGAATATACAGAAATGCACAACTCAATTGCAGTTAAATATCACAGTCCTTTTATTTATCCAACCTCCAGTCACCCGACCAACCTGTCTCTTTTTCCACAACTAACCTCCAACTGCCGTCCGCATTCATCCCTACACACCACCTTTCTCTCGCTCACAACACAGCCACTGTCACCCGACCAGTCGCTTCCCTTGTACCCTCGTTCACTCCGTACAACAACATACACGTCAACACACCCGGCCTCGCGTCACACTACAAGCTACATACACACACGCAGTGACCCGTTCCACGTATTCACCTTTCATACACATTACATCACCACACCTACACATTGTATATGTACATGTAAATGGACTGGTAGGGTCACCTATGTGTTTTGATAATAACATATCTAATTATAAAAAAAGTATATTCCAACAACACATAATTTTCATTAAAGTTATTAGTTTATATTTTCATATAGATGGCCGTATCGATTCCTATAAAGGAGAAATTAGCTCAACTGTTGAATAATCTGAAAGAGATAAACAGTTTGTTGAAAAATAATTTAAGTGACTTTGATCAGCAGGTAAGCACATCTCATAGTACGATGTACTAACAGGGCTTTAATTTATCTAGAACATGATCGTATTAAGCTGCGTAAGAAAAACAAACTCCAAAACCTGTTAGTAAGAGTTGTTAATTAATGCAAATATTTTAAAACTAATGGATATTATGTAATTTCATTTTTCCATGCACATTCCGCCTGTTACATAGATTTGCACATGGTACTATATGGTAATGTAATTACTTTACACACCCAATGAAAGAATGATAAGTATTAAGGATTTTGAATTTATTTTGCTCTTAAATTAATTAGCACCTGAATGTTTAAATATTTCAAACCTCGTCTCTGTTATGTCATGTCTAGGTAAAACAAGCAACACTGGAATGGCTTGACAATCCCGCAGTTGCAAAAATAGATTTTAAAGAAGTGGTTTTTATGGTAACAACAGTAAATACTTCTCTACTTGAACTTAAACAAACGATTTCTGGTAATTTTATAAAATTATTATGTAGTGCAGTTTTACTTTTTATTTTTAAATATTTCGTTGGATTATTAATTTATAACGATAATATTCGACAAATATGCTATTTAAAAATATACATCACTAAACTTTAAATATTATATATCTTTTTTCCATAGACTACGTCGTCCATTTAAAATTATTTATCCTATGTATTATAATACACATCTATATTTGTAAAATTATTGTATGTTTTCTAAAATTCAAAATATACTCATTGGAAAGATAACAGATAGTTTAAAAGCCGTTGATTTTTATATTTTAGATTGTTTGCTTTTGAAAACATTTGCAATGCTTTTCAAATATTTTTACATTCTTACTATTGAAAATCTAGTCCTTAAAACATATTTGTTACACATGTCTGAAAGTTTCCTGCACCAAGTATCAAGCAATGGCTGCTGGAGATAAGACAACACAAGAGAATAAAAGTGTTGTTTCTGTACACGATGGAAATTATTCTGATCTTCCTATGTCAGGTAAAATTGCTTTATATATATATATATATATATATATATATATATATATATATATATATATATATATATATATATATATATATATATATATATATATATATTTATATATATATATATATATATATATATATATATATATATATATATATATATATATATATATATATATATACATATATATATATATACATATATATATATATATATATATATATATATATATATATATATATATATATATATATATATATATATATATATATATATATATATATATCAATGCACCGTTGCTTTAATGTAATTACTTTACTTTTGTCTTTAGTTTGAAATATTTTGCTTCTATAGCCTTCTCCAAGAATATGCTAACATAAACAAATTTTAAAAGTTGCAGCTGATTTTAGTAACAAACTAGAGCAGAGAGTAGAACGTCTTGAAACAGCGCTAACTTCTATGCAAAGTAGGAATAAAAAAACTGAAGCTGACGTGACTGAAATTAAGCAATGGAGGGACACTTATAAAACAGAAGAAAGTAATATGAAGGAACACATAGAACAATTGGCTATAAAACAAAAACATAATGCTAAGCAATTCCGAAAGCAAATTAACGAACAAAAACATATAACGGAAGAGATGAATGAAGAACTAAAACAATTGAATGAATTAAAACAATGGAGGAAAACACTTATATCAGAACATAACACTATGGCGAAAAAACTTGAAGAATTGTCTCAGAAAGAAAAAGATAATAAAGAAAAGATTAGAGAACAAATAAAAGAAACCAAAACCAAAATAAATGAGTTGAATAAAGAAATTGAGACACTCAAAGAAAAGGAATCAAACGCAAGACAAGCTCTAGAAAGCACGAACACAGAGATGAACAAGTTTGACATTATAGCAAACAAAATAAATGAAGAATTAGAAATTCAAACAACTAAAACAGAGAAATTGCAACAATATATTAAAAAGCATTACGATGTTATTTCTCACTTGAGGGAAGAAGGAAATAAAAACCAAAATACGGAAACCAAAGTAGAAAAGTTAATGTCAATGGTTTGTACCAATTTTAGTACCTATTTTAGTTTTTGAACACATATTTTCTCTTTTAAAATGGATTTCTTGGTTTGTGCTTTATTAGTTCATAGCTACACACTTTAATAACTACAAACCTGCTCACATGCAATATGTCTCGATTACATTTGCCAAAACTGTTAAGACAACATGATTATGCAATTCTACTTCTAGCATAGGGTCACTTTCAAGATCTTACAACAAAGATTGATGCCCCTTGAAAATTTGATTCAAATGTTTAATCAAAACTTGGCAAACAGGCAGATAAACAAACAAAAGGTAACATATTTAGTACCGAATGCGACTGTTTCTTTTGAGAGTCTACAAAGCCCACACAATCTACCGACATGTTCTCGTGACAGAAATATTGTTTGAGACCGATGTAAACAATTAATTACCATCGCTGCTTTTGTTCTTCGGTAGACACGATTACAATATTAAAAATATAAATAATCACTTTTCTTGCATTCAGTTTGCTATCTTGTTTTTTTTTCTGTAAATTTGGAAAAAATCACTTGTAAAATACGAAATCTGACACTATTTTGAAATGATAAGATGACATCTTTTGTTTTCAGCTTGCAACCCTGGAAAAAGATATTTTGAATTTGTCAAGTGATGTAGATTCAATTAGTAAGTATTTTATCATTAAATACTTTTATAATAATCACAAGCCATCGGTACTAGTTAAAAGTAAGTTAAAGGCCGATATTTGGTTAATGTGTTGGGGGGTTTATAAGTATTATGTATGATACTTCATCTATAATCTATATCCTGAGTACTACACTTGATGGTTTTATGTAAAAAGATTACCTTAGCTGCGGTTGGATTATCTTTATTCTATAGACACCACCCCACGCTCTTCTATATTCTTTTTCCCTTTGTTTTTAAACCACTGTGAAAGCCGCGTCCTCTTTCTCCTACAATCAAACTTATCAAAGATAAGCAAACGTTCAAACCACTTCCATGACTTATGTCCCTTTTTTAAATAGTAACATAAGGGTGCTCATAAGTTCCTTTTAATAGATTTGTACTAAACAAATTAAGAAGCAATCACTTCTCTTAATTATTTTTTTATAAAGTACTTAATAAAGGATGCATTGTACAAAAAGGAGATGTATTTTGCATTAATACTATAAATACAAAAAACAAAAACATAAACATAACACGAGACACCATTATTTATACAAAGCTTTCTTTTCTCCGTCTAGGTCTAGAGGTTAGGAGGTCTTATAGCAGAGACAAAATAGAACTGATTTTCACAAAACACACTAATGCACTTACACACATGACATGATGTTGTAATTTGTTTTAATTGATAAACAAAACATTTTTTTTCAAAACCCGAACATGCCAGCAATGAGTATCCTATGTTCGTATTTTGTGTTTGTATATATATATATATATATATATATATATATATATATATATATATATATATATATATATATATATATATATATATATATATATAAAGCAATGTATGTTTGTGTGTGTGTGTTTGTGTGTGTGTTTGTCCTTTATGCATTACTACACCTCTCATCACATCGCCGTGAAACTTTGGGAAGTTGTTGAGAATATTCCTGGGGAGGTTTCTGCGGAAAAAAAAAATTCAAATTCGTAGGGGTGGCGCCCCGGCAGGGCACGATTTGTTTTTCTCGATATACGGTATATAAAAATAAAAGTCGATTTTGGTTTGACACCATTCACCTGATCGCTATCAAACTTTGGTGAGTTCATTAAAACACTTTAAGGAAGGGTTCTGTAAAAAAAATCAGTTTTAATTTCACAAGGGCGGCGCCACGGGAGGGTGCGATTTTTCTCTATATACCGTATATAAAAATAATAAAAGTGAATTGCCGTGACACCGTTCACAGATCGCCATGAAACTTTGGGAAGAAGTTGAATTTATTTCTTGGGGAGGTTTCTGCGCTAAAAACATTTTCAAATTCGCAGGGGTGGCGCACCGGCAGGGCGCGATTTGTTTTTTTTTTCTATATACGGTTTATAAAAATAAAAGTCTATTTCGGTTTCACACCGTTTATCCGTGTACCATGAAACTTTGGGGAGATGATTAGATCACTCAATGGTAGGGTTCTGCAACAAAAATATTTTTTTAATATTGCAAGGGCGGTGCCCCCGGGGGGGGGGCGATTTTTTTCTCTATACACGGTATATAAAAAATAAAACTCGGATGCGGTTCATCCGAGTGCCATGAAACTTTAGGGAGTAGATGATAATACTCCCGAGAATATTTCTGCGAAAAAGAAAACTAAAGTTTCTTATGGGCGGCGCCATGTAGGGTACAATTTTCGTCAATACACGGTTTGGCGCCCATAGTTTTAGAGCGACTATGTTGGCACTTGTCATCCGTTACTCGAGCGTCCTGCATAGCGAGTAAGGGGTACTACTATATTCAGCGGTAAAACTGCAACAGGATTCTAAAAATAACTTTGTAAAGCGAGGAAATCCTTCTGTACAGTTTCGTCACCTTGCCAAAGATGAAAAAATAACTTTTTGAATATGAGGAGCCTACTGTAGAGTTTTGTCACTTTACAAAGGATGCAATAAGCATCTACTATTAGACAATCAAGTCAGAAATTGAGATCGAGCATCTAATAATAGACCATTAGTAACACTAGCATATTGCATCAGTCACACTGATGTTTAAAACACGTCAAATACTTTTTTAACGTGTTAAAGAAAAAAAAATCCTGTTCATTTGTGTCACTTTAGCGAATGACGCAATCTGCATCATTATTAACAGGAGGCTATTTGGCGCCTGTTACTTTTAAGGAGCCAGGGGTCGTACGCCGCGCCTATGCGGTAGTGTAATCGGGGGGGGGGGGGTGGGGGCCCTGAGAGCGCCCCTGTAAGTCTCTGACACATGGGCGGTCACCGAAGTGTGTTCTAACATTTTTTCGGTGAGTGATTAATGTACACTCAATGTTTACATGAGGTAGTGTTGGTAAACCCGTGTCCGGATATTTATGATTTAAGCGCAGGCATTATTTACATTTAAATAACTCACTTTTAGAAAAGACGGTCACGCGTCTAAGAACATATGATTGGTAATGCGTTGGTGAAATCCTGCTAATACATTTCGTCAAACTTTCTTCTATCCCCGCGGCAACGCGCCGGGGACGGGTATATATATATATATATATATATATATATATATATATATATATATATATATATATATATATATATATATATATATATGGGGCCTAAAAAATTTTTTGCGGGGTGGCCCTTTTTTTCTAGTTCCGCCACTGGTACTACTATTATTAGCACTGCAATTAAAAGCTTGTGAAGGAGGACGGGAAACACTCTTATTTTCCGCAGACAATAATTAACAATGTCAACAACTTCGTTTATGAAATAGTATTAACTTTATTAACACACACTTATAGATCTGTTTCACAATATCAAAATACGTTCGTCTTCTACTATGGCTAACCCCCAACGTTTTTCACTGCAGCGTCTTACATAATCGGTACATTGTCGCGTCATGCTCATGTCACACTCACGCCACAAATATTTTATTGAACAAGCGCACAATACTCTCGCACCAAATCGTCTACCGTCAAGTTCACACTGTCCTCAGTAATCTCTACTAGTCTACGCTATGACAGTTGATAATAATATATTTATATATAAAGCAATGCAAATGTGTGTTTTTCTGTCTTAAAATGGCCTAATCATAGAAGGATTTATTGTTGAGAAAGAACATAACAATTAGGCTTGGAACAAAAACAAAGCTTCAAACAGGTTCATTTGTTGGAGCTAAGAGGCGTACACACATATACACACAGAGTTGCACACATACACATAGAAAAACAGTCATCGTCAAACGCGCTGCAAATACAGAAAAAAAACAACACACAAACAAAAGCGTATGTTTCAACATATTATTCAATATTGTAAGTGCATATATCGTGTTACTGTTAATTGAAAAAAAAAATAAAAACATAAGGTCTGTAATCTCACGGCGATCAAATGCTACTCGCCCTTTCATTCCTAAGCCTATCCCCCCCCCCCCCCCAACCCCTCATGTTTTATCTAACGATTACTTAAAATGAGACTTGTATACAATATTTAACACAACAATATTTGGACACAACGTTCAACAGCAACAAATATGAGTGAATCAATTTATTTAATGTGATTAATAAAAACAGGACAAGACATCAAAAGCCACTCTGCTGTGACTTTAACTCTACAAAATGATGGGAAGAAAAATCTGGCCCATACTACAGACCTTTTAGTAGCTTTAACTACAAAGGTATCCTGTTTACTTTACAATTGATATATTCCCTTGTTTTTTTTAAGCGACTGATACATATTGTATTCTTGTTAACATAATGTGAAATGTAGGCCCTACACTAATGTTGAGACTAGTTAATTTTGAATGTTGTGTTGCGTGCTATTTAAATAAAAATAAGGTGGTTACTATTTTAATAATATAAGACCATAATGTTTCATCAGTTCGGGGGCCAGTTTCTTCCAGGCATGTCATTGATTTTTCTGGGCAAAGTTCCTCAGCCATCACCAAAAGACGATTTTTCCTTTGACAAAAAGATCTCCGCGGGCCGGATGAGAGGACTTCGCGGGCCGCATCCGGCCCGCGGGCCGTAGTTTGGAGACCCCTGCTCTAGAGAAAACACAAGCAATTTAAAAACATGCACAATCAGACGGAAACGAAGCATGACGTCATATAGTAGAAAATATTATCAAGCCGGAGAGTGCACACAGTAATATGACGTCATTGATTCTCGAGTAAACATTGAATAAAAGGCAATTTTGTCTAATCTAAGTGGTTTGCGTGAAGAGTTTCTTTCATACACTTCTTCGGGTAGGGGCGAAGCCCCACCCCCCCCGCGTAAGAACGTCTGAGCCCCCCCCCCCCCTCCCCAACTCAAAAGAAATTTCATCATCGATACTCTATAATAAAATTACCGCCTAATTAATGTGTCTAATCTAAAAAGTGGTTTTCTTGCAATTTCTTTAATGCAATTCTTCGCGTAGTGGCTAAGCGCGACACCAGTGTTTCTTTCAGACTTTTTCCTCCCCGGAGGGGGGAACTTTTTCTAATCTAAAAAGCGTTTAGCGTGCAGTTTTTTTTTCAAGCATCTCTTCCGGTAGGGGCGAAGCCCCGCCCAGATTCTTCCTTTAGTTTGTATGATCTACAAATGCGAAAAGTGTTTCTTTTTCCTCCCCGGAGAGGGGTGGGGGTACTTGAAATTTTCGGGGGCGGGGGTAGAATTTTCGGGGAGGGG